CCCCGTATCATGAACATATCCTAATAATTTACTTAAAAACCCCACCAAAATCAGTAAATAAACAAATGAATAAGTAAATGAGACTTAAGATAGTCCAAGATAACTTTGGCTCCTTTTGGCAGTATTTTTCCACTATAATGAAGTTCAAACCACTGGCAGGATCTTCAAATGTAGATGTGGCTTCTTCTGAAAACTTGGTCCACACTAGCTGGGAGAGCTTGGGCAAATTCCTTCACCTCTCTGTGCCTCTGCTTTTTGTCTGAAATGGTATAATAAAGTGATGGCTGCTTCCAGGGATGCTTGGGAGGAGAAGGGGGTCCTGTGGAAAGTGTTCAAATCAGAGTCTGGCTCCCAGAGACGTTCCACTGCTGGCTGGCACCCCATTGATGCAGTACAAATGTCTCCAGGGTCCAGTGTGGGAGGCCAGGGTTGAGGGTGTCATTGTCCCTCTTCCTCCTTCAATCTGCCTCCTCATCTGTAAACAACGCTGCCTTAGCACTGTGACCACCCCTGAGCTTGCGTCTAAGGCAGATTGTGTCTCAAACATTACTGTGTTAACTTGTGCATGTGTGTGGGCCCCTTGTGACATGCAATTAAAAAAACCAAACTCATTCCTCTGTCCCCTGGGTTCTCCCCCAGAGTAGCCACACTGTCCACTTTCTGAGCACGTGTGGACTGATGGACATTGTGCTAAGATCAGCATTTTACTGCCACCGACAAGGATATGATGACCCTTCCTGTGACCTTGTCTTCCTGTCTTCCTGTCAACTCTGCTGGTACATTTCCAGAAGTGATATTGCTGGCTTGGAAAAGTTTGCACTGCTCTGTATTCCCCAGTGGTGAGCAGGCACTGCAGGAGGTGGTGGGTGAAAGCTGAGCTGCAGGAGAGTGAGAGGAGGTTGGTGACGGTTAAGTCCAGAGTGTGCTACAGATGGAGAAATAGTGTGAGCAATTCTACCAACTATTATTTTCATCATAATCACCCTTCCATCTGTATGCACTTTACACATAACAGAAGAAATTAATAACTCAACATTAACTGTAAAAAGAATAGGTCACCAATGATACCAAAATTATAAATATATCAATTACAAGACCTAACCTTTAACTCTTATGTAATCCCCACACCAGACGTTAAGCCAAGTGTTAGGATGGCTCCAGGTTGACAATAATGCTACCTTAAGAGAAACCAATCTGCATATTGATTTCATCTGAAGGCTTCCTTCTCACATAAGCTGTACCATCTTTAGGTTAAAAACTGATGCTGTTCCAGGCCATCTTAATTGAGCTACCTTGACATCATCAACATGACCAGGAGTGTATGATGATCGGTGTCCTGAGGTCTGTGAGTTTAATCACAATTTTATATCAGTTGTCTTAGAATTACTCCCTAACACTTTGAAGATTGATCGATGTTTACATTATAAATACCATTGTGAAACTAACACAGCATTGAATTTTTAAGTTATAAAACAAGAACCAACTCTCCCCATAAGGAAATGCCAAAGTCCACAATAATTCTTACACTGTTGTACTCTTTCAACTAAAAATGAGAATGCATCGCCTGAGACCTGAGCTGTGCAGATGCCAAAAAGCTTTGCAGTCGGTTGCCATTAGCTAGTCAACTTCAATAAAGCCTCCTTCTAAACATCTGGGTCTTTTTTGCTTGTTTGTTTTCTTGGCAGTACTGGGGTTTGAATTCAGGCTAGGCAGGCACTCGACCACTTGAGCCACTCCGCCAGCTGAACACTTGTTGAATGGAATTGTAATATGAACTTCCCAGGGTTGCTGTAAAATCCAGTAGAGGAAATATGGAGAGCCCTCAGTACAGGGTCTTGCATCAGCCCCAATAAACCGTAACTTCCATTCCTACCTAACATTGTCACTGCCAGAAAAGGTGAGCCAGGAAGGCAAAGGGAGAACAGGGAGCCTTGTTCCTCCCAGACCTGGCAGAAATCTTTCTCTGTATGGCATGGCTGAATTTCCTGGTGGAGAGATGGCCAGAGATGCCCTGAGTTGGGTTTTCTCAGCCTCACCACCGTCGGCACTTCAGGAGCTGGGTGCCCCTTTGCTTGTGGGGCTCCCTGTGCATGGTGGGATCTATTACTACACTGTATGGGCATTTCCTCCCATCACGACAATCAAAAAGTCTCTAGATAGTCTCAACCAAGTGTCCCCTAGCAGGACATAGCTGTCTTTGGTTGAGAGCTGTGGTTTTGAGTGAGCTCTGTGTAAGTGGAGGGATGGAGGCTGAGGTTGAGACTGGCGTGGGAATACTACAGAGAAGAGAAAACTTGACAAGCATGTGGTTTCTAAAGTTGCATCCTGTTCCAGAAGCAATGCTTGGATGAGCCTCATCAGTTAGTTGGAGAAAGGAGGCTCAAATCCAGCTTCTCTGCCCCCTTCACCACTTCACTTTATGGTGTTTGTGGTACTGGTATTCCTAGCTAGAAGAGGCAGTCCCAGGCAGTTCTGAGAAGTGTAGTCCACCCATCCGGGTGAAGATAATAACGACACACAGTGTTTTATGTGTGCACAAATCAACCTCATTTAATCATCACGAGAAGGATGTTATTCCCTCACATTGCTGATAAAGAAACGAAAGCACAGAGAGGTCAAGAAACTTGCCTGAGGCCCCACAGCTAGTCAGTGGCAGGGCTGAGATTTGAACTCCAGAGTGTGTGCTGTAAGCCATGAAACAGTCTGCCTTTGGGTTGTGAGTACTGGTCCTAGTGCTTCTCAAACTTTTTTTTAATGGCCAAATCCTTTCATATGATCCAGATATACCTCTTCTGAGTATTTATTCAGAAGAATCAAAGTCAGCTTGTTGTAGAGACATCTGCACACCCATGTTTATTGCAGCACTATTCACAACAGCCAAATTATGGAATCAGCTTAGGTGTCCATAAAAACCTATGAATGGATAAAGGAAATGTAGTATTTATACACAATGGAGTATTACTCAGCCATAAAGAAGAATGAAAGTCATTTGCAGGAAAATGGATGGAACTGGAGATCATCAGGTTAAGAGACATAAGCCAGACTCAGAAAGACAAATATGTTTTCTCTCATATGTGGAATCTAGGGTAAAAAAAAAAGCATAGAAATTGAAAGGCCTACTGAGGAGGTGTGAGGGGAGGTGAAAAGGAGGGAGGAGTGGGAATAAGGAAGGGCAATAGAAGGTTGAATCAATCAAAGTACATTGTAAGTATGTATGGAAATGTCATAATTAAACCACTTATTGGTACAATTAATATGCTAATAAAAAGATAAAAGAAAGTGGAGCCAACAATCCAATAAAATTTAATAATTAAGAACTTTCTCTGGCTGTAGGAAAGAGGTCAGATCCCCACCAGAGAAGCTCCCAACACCTTGGATGTTGCTGAGCACCCTGCAGAGCAATCTGGAAATGCCTTTGCTAGCTCTTCATCCTATGGACAAAACCCAAGTGTAATAACAACACAGTGAGGGCTGCCTGTTTTCACTCCTATGCTGTACACCAGACATCATGGGACACACCTGTGTGAAAATCTGACTTCCTTTCCAAATGACAGTGGGGATAGGAGCCATATTTCTTTTAATCAGCTTCATTAGCCTCTCTGAGCTGTAGTATCTCTTCCCCAGTACCTATGGAGGTAATTAATGTCCACCCATCTATGCCTAGAAGCCATCTCACACCATGTCTGTCTGTACCCTGGGTGAGGGAAGCCTGGTTACAAAGTCCTTAAGCATCAGTTGGGGTAGAAGTGACATTAACTCCAGGCCAAACGGTGGAGGGGCAGTTGTGGCTTGTTGCTCTGCTCTTTTCTTCTATGTTAGGGATGTTGATGCTCCCACAGGCATTCCCAATAGCTAAAGGGTGGACACGAGCCACGCGAGTGCCTCTTCCTATGCCAGAGGCTGAGAAATACAGAGCTGAGTAAGAAGTGATCCTGGGTTGGAGGTGGTGATCACAGTCTAGTGAGAAGTAGCTCTTCAGAAGACCTTCAGGTATGTGTTCTGATTAAGAAGCCATGGAGTTATGTAGCCATATGCACAGTAAGACCAAAAGCAATAAACAAGTGGTCCTTTTGGATATGCAGTTTTAAAAATATTTGAATTAATCACCAGTACATAAAAGTAAGGTTTTAAATAAAAACCTGGAATCCAGACTTCTTTAAAAAAATTTTATCAGCATAAATGATTGTACAAGGGGTTTCATTATCATGTTTATGTATGTGAATGTACTGTACTTTGATCAAGTTCCCCTCACCAACATTACTTCCTTAATCTCCCTTTCCCCTTCCTCCTCTGAAAAGTTTTTAGTGGGATTCATTATGTTATTTCATTCACACACACATGCACGCACACACACACACACACAATATAGTTCTGTCATGTTCACCCCGTGCCACCCTCTCTTTTCCTCTCTCCCTCTCGTTTATTCCTCCCCCTCAAAAATACCTCTTTTAGGATCATGCCCTATCATTATTATCACGGTTGTTGTTGTTTTGCTTTTGGTCTAAATTCCCCCATCTTTCTGAGCTTGGCTGATCTCCCATTTCCATCCATTTTTCTGTAAACAACATAATTTCATTCTTCTTTATTGATGAATAATACTCCATTGTGTGGGTTATCAAATCATCAGTCATTGGGCCCCTAAGCCGAGGGACTCCTGACTTCTTCACCAAGAGCAGCTGGATGAAGTGCTTAGAGCAGCCACTTCATCCATTTCTGTCGGTCTCCACCATTCCCTCATTGCACACAATCTGCCAGGTACAGTAATGCATGCATCTGTGGGGTCTCTTAGGTACTAGACTTTAGGATCCCTATGGCAAGACAAGTACTGCCTGTGCTTTTAGTGAAGAAATACAAAGTATCCTCTCCAGAGCCCACTCACCAGCTTTTAAATCCTTTCCTTGTAGATCCCTGGCATTGTCACATGTATTCCTCACACTCTGCCCCCGAGGGTACTCTGATGTTCAGATTTTCCAAAGACAAATCATGTCCAACCTCACACCATGGTGGGCTCCAAGGAGATTTCCCTGTCTGCATGTACAACCCAACTTTTTGCCTTTGTCTGTCTGTGCTCCACTGAGTGCTTCCTCATCACCTCCATGGCTTATGATCGTTGTCTGGCCATCTACAGGCCTCTGACATATGGGACAGCTATGAGTTCCCAGACTTACGCCTCTCTGGTGGGGGTGGCCTGGGTCAGCAGGCTCCTCTTCTCTGCCTTCCACACAGCCAATACCTTCTCCTTGCCCTTCTGCGGTCCCAACATGACCGATCACTTCTTTTGTGACATCCCTCCACTCATGCGCCTCGCCTGTACCAATACGCAAGCCCACGAGGCTGCTGGATTTGTGGCTAGTGGTTGTGTCGTTATTACCTGCTTTTTGCTCACCCTTCTGTCTTACATTCACATTGTGGCCACAGTGGTGCAGATCCGTTTGGCAGCTGGCCGCCAGAAGTCCTTCTCCACATGCTTTTCCCACCTGGCCACGGTGCTCCTGTTTTATGGCACTGGCAGTTTTGCCTACATGCAGCTTGCTGTCCACTACTCCACACTGCAAGGGTGCCTGGCTGCTGTCTTCTACTCTGTCCTCACTCCCACCCTGAATCCACTAATCTACAGCCTGAGGAACAAGGACATGAAGGGTGCCCTGCAGAAGCTCTATCTTCGGGTGCCATCTTAGGACCTGGCTTTTGGACAAGGAAGGCACCAGAAATGCTCCTGCATGAGATTTTCCCTGTGATCATGCTGAAAGTGTTAATGGTTCCAGAGACCACCAGGAAAGACCACTCTAGCTAAATAAAAGTGCAATGGATTTTGATGACAAGAAGTCAATCAGGAGGCCCTGATAGGTGTCAAGATAAAAAGGAGACAGATCCAATGTGCATTTAACTTAGGCAAAAAGTACCAGAAGCATTCAGGGAAAGATAGAAAGAGAGTGAAGAATTTGGTAGTTTGTGTTATTCCATCCAAAAGCCCACCCAGTAAGACTATGTGTGGTCTATGAGGTTATTAGGAGCAGGAGACTGTGAGCCTGCTCATACCAGATTCCACGGACCTCCCATAGGTGGGCATGCTGTTCTCTGCTCGATGAGATTGTACTGTTTATTGGTACACATTTTCATCTACGGTCTGCCGTAAATGCAAGCCAAAGACTTCATCAGAAGAAGCAGTGTGATTCCAGAAGAAAATAGGCCATATTAGACCTACAGAGATATGGTAAGCTTCATGTTACTGCTTCCCAAGGGAGTGTCAGGGCTACTCTTATCTTTCTGCAATGTTTCTCTGATAGTATTGCATTAGTTGGGCTGTTGCTTTATCAGAGACCAACAGTAGCTTGAGTAATACAGAAGGCTGGTTTCTCTTTTATATGAACATCTGTGGTTGAGTGTGATCCTGCGTGTCTCTATGCTGCAAACTTTTCCTAAGGCAAGATTCATTGTGTCTTATTGCTCTGCCTCCCCTACAGTTCCCTTATCCTTATGGTAGCACCTTATTCACAATCCAGCACTATGAGGGTAAGTGTTGTACTCATCAGTTCTGCTAAGAGCCCATTGGCCAGAGCTTAGTCACATGGCTATGCTGATTTGCAAAGGATGCTGGGAAATGTCTTATGCTGGGTACCCAGGTAAACCTTCATAAAGGAGACAATGTTATTCACTAATTTTAATCACTCCTCTACATCTTTTCTCTTGATGCACCATCATTTACCTTTTTGTTCCATCCTACCATCACACTTGTAATTCTTCCTTTCTTTGCAGGCCACCTAATGTTTATTGGGTAACCACATTACCACACCTGCAAGCATTAATACCTCATTTTGCAGATAAGCAAAATAAAACTCAGAAAGGTTAAGCAATTCACCCACGGTCAACAGGGTTGAAGAAAGGCTCTATATAGGACTGGAAGTGTGGCTCAACCAGGAAGGCACCTGCTGTGCAAGTGCAAAGCCCTGAGTTCAAACCCTAGCACCACCCAAAAAAGATAAATATTCTATATATCTACTAGAGAACCAGGGTTTTGTTTTAATGATGAAGACTGGACTACATACCTTTATGACTTTAAAAATATCTTACCTTATTTAGAAGCTTTTGTTTGGAAGTTTGGGGAGGAAGTTACATTTCCACCAACATATCCTTAAGGGCTGAACAATTATCCATCGTCTGGGAACACCATCCTCTCTCATCACACACATAACTCTTGGGAAGGACGTAAATTGGGCCAGGAAGAAAGGAGTGTGCGACCAGCAAGTAAATCAGCTCTTTGGTGATTGCTGGAGTGTGATGTACACACTGTAATGATGTGAGCAATTGTTAAATAATTCTCTCCAGATGAGTATAGGCGGAACCCGTGGTTTCCTTTCAGCATGCAAAACACAGAAAGATGACAGGCTATCACTGTCATGATTACCTGAGCCTTACTCTCTGAGATGCGAAGTATCAACATCTGGGTGCCTGGTGTCTCCCTTCCCTCTGATAGCTGGCTCCCTCTCAGCCTTAGGTCACAGCTGCCATGTCATCTCATAGGTTCCCTCCTTAGCCTTCCCACCTCAGGCAGGTCCCTTAGCTGTTATTCTCAATCCTCTCATCCTGCTGTTTTCTACATCACATTCACCAACCTTGGCTACCTGATGAACCTCTTGCTGAACCCAACTATCTGGCTGCCCCTCATCCTTATCAGACTGGACATTCCAAGAGGGCCTTGTTAGTCCATCCTTGAAACCTGTCATATACATTTTATGACTACTTCTCATTATTGTGGTGAAATCCCCTTTTTGTTTATCTTGGGAAAGTTTGCCTGACATGTCCTGGCCCTGGGGCCCACTATGCACATTGTGCAGCTGCATCTTGTTACTTTGGTGAGAGGCTTGTTATTTCTCTGAGAAGCCTGTTATTTTTTACACCTTTTTAGATGTCTGTTTTTAAAGTGCCTCTCTCATCCAAAATGGAATCACCTCTGTCATTGTTCCCCTTATGAGTGTTTAGATGGGCTTCTGTGAGTGAATGGTTACTTCCTTAGGAATGTCTTTGTGTCTTACAAGGAGTCTGTATAATTTTGTCCAGGAATGTCCAGTGCCTGTGTGCCAACTGACAGCAGGTATGTCTGTGTATGGATGGGGCTTGGACATAAGTATGGGTATTGGTCCTTGTAACTGGGTGAGGTTATGAGGCCATGTCACTATCACTTGGGGATCAAACACCACAGGGGCACATGCCATGCCCATCCAGGCATTATCAAGGACAAAGTGGTTAGGGAGGGAAAGCCCTGCAGACTGGAGGTCAGAAGTGAGAGTCAGCAAAAGTGCTCAGGGTGTGCTGAGGCAAGGAAGACAAATGCCAGGCAGGTTATGAAGTGAAATGTGAACTGTATCTGGAAGCCAACCTCTGTGTGTGGCGACAGTGAGGGCTGAGACAATGCTCAGGGTTCAGGGCATGGTTTCCTCACCACCTTCTGTAGTTTCTTGTACTGTGTGTTAAGCTTGTCTGCCAAGGTTCTTATTTCTGCAAGGCTGTGTTTGCTAAGCCCTCCTTGTGATTTTTTGGGGTATCAGTTTGTGAAGGCAAGAGAGCATTCTGTGTGCCAGTGTGATTTAAGAGATATAAGGAAAGGCACACTGATTTTAGGCAGTAATCATAATTCTGTGTGGGGTAGGGTTTCTTAATTTCCTAAATCTGATGTGCCAACGATTGAATTTCTATTCAATCATTGTGTAGCAAGTGCTGGGTGTGGTTTATTTTATGTGTTCATGTGTGATTGAGTGGGAGTTTCTGAGCCATGGCAAGTGATGTGTATCTGTGATTTTGTTCCAGAGGGGATTGTGTGTGACTGTATGTAATACTGTCTCTGCATGAGGGACATGCAGTACCTGCCCTAGGGAATTTGTGTGTGTGTGTGTGTGTGTGTGTGTATGCTTGGGTCAGGGGTGGAGGGGTCCAATATGGCAAGTGTATCTAACATAGGTGGTTGGTCACAGCTTGGTGAGGATGTGAGGCTGTGTATTCATCTGAAGATAGCCCTTCAGGAGTATCACTGTCCCCAGTGTATGAGATTTTCCCCAGTGGAGCTGTCGGGGAAGGGAGATTCCACGCTGAGGCCCAAGGTGGTCATTATAAGTGTGCATATGGGCACACATACCCACCCACACCCCCAAGCTTCTCTGCATTCTCCTGGAGGGTCCCAGCTTTGACCAGTATTTTAAGAGCAGCTGTGGCTCCATGTTTTTGTAACCTGGATAAAGATGTCAGCATGACGCTGTCTACCCTCTAGTCACATGTGTTAAGGAATAACCAGCACTTGCTTCTAGGAGCACAGAGATTGCTGGCTTGAGTCGTGAGTGAGGGTTACCATGGGACGCTTCAGTGAAGCATCCTAAGGTCTGGTTTTCAAATTTCACATTCCTTGGCAATGCTGAAGTAACCCTATTCCTGAGATGCTGGGCTTTTTGGGTTTTTTAAAATGAGAAATATAAGAAAATTCCTACACAAAAAATCCACACCTGCAAAAACATGTAGGAATGACTAAGGAAACTTGTGATCTTTTGAGGAGAAAACTACAAAACTTTACTGACTGGTACAAAAGCATGAATACATGAAAAGGACAGTACCACATTCCCAGATGTTAAGATTAAAATGTAACAGTGTTATGGTAGTTCATTTATAAATTTAGTGCAATAATCCAAAGACTGTTTTAAATGGATACATTTTTGTCTGGGAGAATAACGAAATCATGTAGTCCTCATAAATAAACAAACATATTGCATACTTTTTAAGGCACAATGATGGAAGACATTAAATTTATAAAAATTATAAGGAATATAAAAATAAATTTATAAAATTTATAAAGAATATAGGTATAGGACAAAACATGGTAAAAAGCAAATGAATCAAAGTAAAAGATCCAGATATAGGTCCTACAAAGGCTAAATCATCATTTGCTAATTATGGATGGGACTCTTAGCAACAAGGAAGGGTAATTTTGACTCTTTTCTTACAATTCATCCAAGCAAATCCAAGAATGGTTAAACATCCTTACAAATGATGAAAATTTCAGAATAAATCACTCTAATGTTTACAGAGGGTTAGATTTATAGGGCTGGAAAAGAAAACAGAAGGATTGAACTACATTTAAAAAATGAAACCTTGTCAAAAATCATTGAAAGAAAATCCTAAACAAGCTGGGAAAAACATTTGCAGACAAAATGAAGACAAATAATCTTTGTTCTACAAAGAGATTATTCAAATTAAGATGAAGATATTAAAGACAGACATGCAAGAGAGGAAACATGCTTAAGAAGCTTTCCAGAAAACATTGAACTGCCTTTAAAAGCAAACAAATACAATTAAATTAAATACCCTTTCTCCCATTAAGGTGAAAAACACTCTTGTTACAAAGTGCCAGCTGTTGGGTGTGATCACATTCCTGTATGTAAATGGCAGTAGTGCAAATGGTGTGATGTTTTCAGAAGGGGCTTCTGACCCAGCAATTCCACTTTGGCAAAATCTATCTTAAGGAAACAATCCTAAATTTGGAAAAGAATTTAAGCACCAAAATGTTCATTACAGCATCATTTATGGTTATGAAAAGTCAGAACTAAATCCAACATGCAGACAACAGAAGGGCCTGGGTGCCATGTACCTATGAAGGAGGAAATACTGGTGGATAAAGAGTGTTGGATGAGTTGCA